ACTCCCTCAATGCAAGAACACTTTGTTCTATTAAACTTGCATCCCATGATGCTCACTTTCCCTACACGATCCACTTTCCCGACACATCGTTGAAGATAAAATAGGTGCATAAGCAAATGTGGTGAAGAAAGCTGATGGTGACCAGCTATCAAAAGAAATGGCGTCTGGGGTCTTAAAGGCTTGAAGGTAAACAAGCGGCCATCTAGCTGAGAAGCGACAAAGCCCATACGGAAGAAGCACACCAGCCTGTGTGATCATAAGGTGTCGATTAGATCAAAGAACAAAAAATCATATCATTGTGAATGAGGGGCAGTGTGGAGTGGAGACCCAAAGCCCATCTGTAGGCAACTGGACATCCCCTTACAGAAGGGTCGCAGGGAAGAGACAAGCCCGTCAGAGTGCAGTATAGCACTGATGAAAAATACAACTTTCCTCTAGTTCTTTAATGCTTCCTCCCCCCATTATCATGATCCCATCCTACTTTACAAAATCAACTAGACCAGAGAATGTACATGGGTACAGATAAGAGCTGGAAACACAGGGAATCCAGGACAGATAAAGCCCTCAGGACTAATAATGAGAGTAGTGATACTAGTAGGGTAGGGGGAAGGTAGGGGGGATAAAGGGAAACTGATCACAATGATCTACATATAACCCCCTCCCTGGGGGACGAACAACAGAAAAGTGGGTGAAGGGAGACATTGGACAGTGTAAGACATAACAAAATAATAATAATTTATAAATGATCAAAGATTCGTGAGGGAGGGGAGGGCAGAGGAAGGAGAGGAAAAATGAGAAGCTAATACCAAGGGCTCAAGTAGAAAGCAAATGTTTTGAGAATGATGGTGACAACAAATGTACAAATGTGCTTGACACAATGGGTGGATGTATGGATTGTGATAAGAGTTGTATGAGCCCTCAATAAAATGATTTTAAAAAGAAAGAAAGATGCAACAATAGAGAAAATTTTAAAAATAAAAAGATAAAAATACAAATAAATTATAATAAAGAAAAGACCACTATCTATTTAAAAAGCCAGAGAAGAAATTTATTTCCTGGAACAGGTGAGAAATGCTTCAGCCTAGGGCAAATTCAGGTTGGGTAAGAGGGAGGTGAACTGACCAGGTATCATATCAGACCCTGGTTCGATCCACCACAATCAAGTTGACAACAATCCCTGTCTGATAGTAGAGCTATTCAAGCCCTTTGCCTGTGGCTAGAGACATCTGCCAGGGGCTTAATCTGACAAAATAGTCTGCAGGCGGATTTTGGGCTCCCTCCGTCCTCCATCCTCCATAGTCTTCTCCAAATTGGGTGTTTACAATTTCAGTTCTGATACTTCACCCTTCATCATATTTGGATTTTGTAATTGTCATCTTTGGATCACACAAGCTGGTGTGCTTCTTCCGTGTGGACTTAGCTGACACTCTTAGATAGCTGCTTATTTGAATATAAGCCTGTAAGACCCCAGACACTATTCCAATTGGTAGCGGCGCACCATCTGCTTTCTTCGTCACACTTTGCTGTCGTACCCTTGTCTTCAATGATCCTTTCATGAAGGCGAGTAAGGAGCAGAGCCATGTTATCAGAACGAATTGTGCTTGGACCGCGGGTAGAGCTAAGTGGGGGCCCAGAATCAAATCTGCTTGTCCATGGGTTATGCACGACTCTAGTTTTCCTTGGCGGTTGTATTATGACAAAAACCAAAACCCACAATAACAACAACAAAACCAAAACCAAACAAAGAAAAGGCAGAAAAACAGAGAAACACATTGTCAATCATCCTCCTGGGGTATAAGACAATTGCACTGATCACAGTCTGACTGCCAGCTGCAATCTGTGAGTTGTTGTTTTGCATAGCTAGATATCTTTTAAAACAGTTTTATGGGTACTTAATCCACATATCACCAAATTCAATAGTTTAGTCACATCAAGAAGAGTTACATAATCATTACCACAATCTTGACTTCTTGATTGATTGAGCTCTGCATACACTGAGCGTGGGGATTGGTGCCAGGGGAACATTTCCTGTATCAGTTCTTACAGGTGAAGATCCTTGCCTATCAGAGTAAAACCTACCATATTAATGCAATGGGGAGCATGGAGATAATAAGTGTACGGTGGTTCTGTGTCCCCTTTCGTTGGACGCCCACTAAGCCAGGAGTCCCACCCAAGGTCCAATGGCTGCAATTTCCACAGTCTTGGGGTGGCCACCCTTTACTTCCTCTCCTATCAGAGTGTTTCAGTCTTATGTCCAAGGGTGCAGGTCGTTTTGAGCTAGGACCCATTTCATTTAGTCAGGCTTTTATGTTGAGTCCTTCCGGTGTGGCCCTGGGGGTTACTGTGTTGCCTCTGAGCAGCCTGGTCTTTCTTTGCCCTGCTAGGGGAAGTGCTACAAAGCTCTTTAGCTTCACTGATAAGTGCCCAGAGGGACCCTGTTCCACCAGCAAGCCTCCCACCAAAGGGGCTCAGTTCTCTTGCTCTCTGCCGCCTCTTTCTCCGCTGCTGCTCCCACTGGTGCATGTCCCGTGTTACAGCTCTCTCTGTCTTCTGGAAACGGAGTTTTCGGAGTAGAGATGGAAGATCCCAAGGACATGCTGTGCTCCTAGCTCTTAGTAGGTCCCCTTTGGGATGGCTTCTTGTAAGCCTGGTAGAATGGCAAAACTGAAGCCCCCACGTTAAAGTTCCACAGACTTTACCTGCGCAGTTCCACCCACCAACCCCCCAAGGGTTCCAGGGACCTTACTGACATCATTAGCAAGCTGTCCAAGCCCTTTGGTGGGCCGCCAGCGTCTCCTTTGTGCAGCGGGAATGATAAAGCCTGTAACTGGAAGGATTGCATTAAGTACAGGAATATTTCGCTTCACTCTACTTTACTCTGATTCCCAGATACTGTATGATTTCCACATTGGCTTTTGGAAACCCTGCTTTGAGAAAGTGGACCAGAACCATTTCCTTTTTCCAACAGCACCTGTTCCCTGTGTGTCTCTGGGTCACCTTTTGGTCACCCTCACAATATCTCAAACTTTTTCTTTCTTTTTTCTTTTTGGTGTTCATATGTCTGGTAGTGTTCTTGTCTTTCTTTTTATAAACTATCAAGGGCTCATGAGGGAGGGGGAGGGGGGAGGGAGGGGAAAAATGAGGACCTAATGTCGGGGGTTTAAGTGGAGAGAAAATGTTTTGAGAATGATGTGTAAATGCGCTTTACACAATTGATGTGTGTATGGATTGTGATAAGAGTTGTATGAGCCCCTAATAAAATGTTCAAAAAAAAAAAAAAGATACATTTTGCCCAAGTACCTTGGGGTGTCTGCAAAACCCGAAAAAAATTAAAAAAAAATTTTTATTGGGGGCTCATACAACTCTTATCAAAATCCATACATACTGTACATCCATTGTGTCAAGCACATTTGTACATTCGTTGCCCTCATCATTCTCAAAACATTTGCTCTCCACCTAAGCCCTTGGCATCAGCTCCTCATTTTTCCTCCTCCTTCCCTGCTCCCCCCTCCCTCATGAACCCTTGATAATCCATAAATTATTATTTTGTCATATCTTACACTGTCCGACGTCTCCCTTCACCCACTTTTCTGTTGTCCATCCCCCAGGGAGGAGGTTTTATGTAGATCCTTGTAATCGGTTCCCCCTTTCCACCCCACCCTCCCTCCACCCTCCAGTATCGCCACCCACACCACTGGTCCTGAAGGGATAGTCTGCTCTGGATTCCCTGTGTTTCCAGCTCCTATGTACCGGTGTACATCCTCTGGTCTAGCCAGATTTGTAAGGTAGAATTGGGAACATGATAGTGGGGAGTGGGGGAGGAAGATTCTCAAACTTTTTCATCTTTCACACTTACTCTACTAAAGTCTATACATGGAAGCCTACCTTTTACCTGCACTGGGAGACAAAAAAATGTGTGTGACTTGGTGCAATATTTGCATTATTGCCACGGTCTGGGACTGAAGCTACCACTTTTCTGAGGTATGCTTGTGATCGAACCCCTGACGTCTGTGCTCCATAGTGCACCAGTGCACCTTGGAGTTCCTAATGAGGGGCAATCAAGCCCCTGGCCCTCAAAACCCCATACATGATAGACACACACGCTTTTAAAAATTATTGGTACACAGTTCTCATCTGATAGGACCTAACATCTAGGAGGGCAGGGACTGCGTTTTGTTAGTCAGTTTCCCTAGGGCCTTGAACACTGCTGAATGAGTCTGATTAGACACTCGAGATAGGAAGAGGTAGTGTGTGGCTACGTGTTAGGGAGAGTAGGAATGGCAGAGATCCAGAGATGTGAAGGCAGGGCTTGAAGCGGTGCAAAGGCCACATCTCAAGCCATGGCACACACAGCATAGTCTAACCATGATGGGACTATCGATGAGATGAGTAAAGTAGAAACAGCCCCCGTGCTGGTGTTCAGTCCTGCCAGCTGTGGCGTTCAGGATTCTGTCTATTGAGTTCTCCAGGACAGAAATGGTGCGGCCCTGCTGGGGGACTAGGTGGGTTTGAATTTGGTTTCAGCTGATACCATGTGACCTTGAGGACTTCCTGCCGCTCTGTATTTGTTGAAGCAATGATACCACGTGGCACAGCTGCCCTGGGGGCCCAAAGCACCAATGCCCGGGGGTGGGGGTGGGGGGGTGGAGGCTTACCAAGTTTGTGGAAAATGGAAATGACCACGGCATTCTCCCACCGCTTTTTGGAAACCGCCTCGCGTGAATCAGGGAACTCCCCCTGTTCTTTAGCATAGAGGGAAGCTGGTCTAGGAAATGAGGATGCAGAGACCTAGCCAAAGCAGATTCCAGGTTCTAGCAATGCTCAGGCCCTGCCCAAGAACATTCTTCCATTATCTTTTCCACGCCGAGGTACAAGAGTTGGAACTAATTGGTTTAAAGTCTCCTCCTTATCATTTCCTCTGTTACGACGACGTTGTACCGGTAAAAGTGCCTTGACCAGCAGAGGCCGTGTTGGCAGGGACGAGACAGCCGGTTTCCACCATGGCTTTCACCTTGGCCAGAGTTGGGAGCCGGTTCCGGATCCGCAACCTCCTGGCGCGGCAATGCCTGGCAGAGTTTCTGGGTGTGTTTGTGCTAATGGTAGGCAGGGAGGAGGGGAGGGGAGGGAGTGAGGGAGGTGGGTAGATGGTTTGGGGTCCTCCTGGTGTCTTTTTCTTTCCTTCTGGACCCACTTTCTTTCGACTCACCCCTCCTCCCCATCTTCTCTCTCTGTGTCACTCTCATGTCTTCTCCTACTTCCTCTTACTGCCCCTCGTCCTTTCCCAGCTATTAAAGAGCCCCGTTGGCATAGTGGGGTACATGTTGAACTGCTAACCACAAGGTCAGCAGTTCAAACCCACCAGGTGCTCTGCAGGAGAAAGGCGAGGCTGTCTGTTCCCATGAAGGTTGTGGTCTCAGAAACCCAAGCAAGCAGTTCCGCTCTGTCCTGTAGGGCCACTCTGAGTTGGAATGGGCTCGATAGCTGGAAGTTGGATTTGACATTTCAGTTCCATTTGTCGCTTTCCTTCCCTTTATTCCTCTTTCTGTATGCTCCCTCATATCTTCACCCTCCTCCTTTCTGCTGTCCTTGCTTCCTCGCTGGCCCCCTGGTGGCCCTTCACGCCCAAGCTCTCTCGGCCCCTCCTTTTATCTTCTCAACCTCACTCCTTTGCCACAGCCTGGGCTACCTGTCCCTCCTCTTCCTCTCTCACCAGCTCATCACTCAGGGAGCAGTGGCCCAGGCTGTCACCAGTGGAGAATCCAAAGGCAACTTCTTCACCATGTTTCTGGCTGGCTCTCTGGCTGTTACCATGGCCATCTACGTGGGGGGTAATGTCTCAGGTAAGGAGTCAGAGTGGTGGGGTGATGGTGAAACGTCAGCTCCTACAGTAACGCATAGACTTTATCTCCTGTGCTTGACCAGTGCACTGGATTGAGATGTGTTTGGGGCCGCTCCAGCCTCTCCTTTGGCATTTCTCCATTTCCTTTCCTAAAAAACAATCTGATGGAGATGGCTGACTAACATCCCAAGACTGGATCTGATGAGGTAGAGGCCAGCTATGCCTCCACTCTCTAACCTTCTCCCCAATTCTGACCTCACTCACCCCTCCCACGGTAAGTTCTGCTTCTCTGCTGGTTGTCACGACCACACAGAACTCACGATGCGCAGGATTATGGGGTTTATTAAGGAACTTTGTGGTGCTGTCAAGTTAAGTGATGGGCTGCTGACCACAAGGTCAACAGTTCAAACCTACCAGTTGCTCCTCAGGAGAAAGATGAGGCTGTCTGCTCCCGTGAAGATGTAAAGCCTCGGGAACCCTATCTAGTGTCACGGTACGGCATAAAGCATTCCATAGCAGTGGGTTGGGATAGACTTGATTAGGGAAGTAATAGGCTATTGTTCAGGATCAGGAACTACTCAGGATGCAGTTCTTCTATCAAGACAGCCTCTTCTCAGCAGATCAGATACAGCTTCTCAGCCTCTTCTCTCTGGTCCTCCGGCTCTTGGCCCAGTGGCCCCTTGGCTGCTGCCCCCTGCTAGGGCACGTTTTACAAAGCTCCTAGCTTGAGAGTTAGCCACCCACGTCACAGTAAGCCTCGGCCTGAGGATACCCCAGAGGTAGTGCCACCAACTGCCTGAGGCACGCCGCTCTGTTAGCAAGCTCTCTGCCAGAGACTCCGCGGTCCCACTCTGTGGGCCCGGAGCCCACTGTGCTGTCTCCTGTCAGCCTCTGGATTTTGCTCTTGTCGTTTCCCGACTTCCTTCCCCCTCTCACCGCCTCAGCAAGATGTTACAACAATGCTCTCATCTGTCTCCTGAGCACCTCTGAAAGGTGCACTCCACTCTTCTTTCTCGGAGGTTGTGAGATAAGATCCCCCTTTCGACCTCTGGGACGGCTCATTTTAAGACTCGTAGGATGGCCAGCTGACCCATCCAACACACAGTTCTTTTTGTTTTAAAGCAGTTTTATTGGCATTTTGTCCACATGTCATACCGTCCAATAATTTAATCATGCCAAGAAGACTTGTACAATGATCAGTGTATTCAATTCTAGCACATTTTCTTCTTCCTTGCACTCATTGTTATTCATGTAATTTTTTTCTAATTGTGACAGGAATATACACCACCAAACGCTCTCCAAGTCCACAACGTCTGTGTGTAGCGCCACAGGTGGACTCTTGGTGTTGCAATCCAGATCTTCAGATAGTCTTGTCAGGACAGTCTTTCTCAGCTGTGCCTGTCAGCAGGCTCTCTGGCCCCTTGGCCACGCAGCCTGGCCTTTGCCCTCTCAAGCAAGGGTTAGAACGCTCTTTAGTTCTGCCACCAGTAAGTGCCCAGAGACACCCCACTCTCTCAGTAAGCCTCTGCCCAAGATGCTCCGTTTTCCCGCTCTGTACTCCCTGGTGCTGTTGCCGCCGGTCCTCTGCCACTGTCTCATCATCTGATGCTACGGCTCTCTCTGCTCTCGGTCTCTCTCTGTCTCCTGGGTCTAGCAGGGATCCAGGTCCAAAGGATGTTCTTCACTTCTCTTTCTTCTTCATGATGGTAGTCAGTGCCCCCTCTCTACCCCCCACACCAACACACACACACTTTCTGCCTCTGAAAGGGCTCACGTTAAGTCTAAGGGGATGTCAAAACCTTCCAGTCCTGTCAACAGTTCCAGTCCTGGAAACTCACAGGGGCAGGTCTCCCGTCCTATAAGGTCACTCTGAGTCAGCTGACTTGATGACAGGGAGTTGGTTTTTGTTGTTGTTAGATCCCCACAAGAGTGCCACATAACTTGTTTACATTATTAGCAAGCTCCCTGATCTCCTGGGTGGGCCATAGCTTCTCACTTGCATAGTCCTACTCAATCATTGGGTGAGAATTAAAGTCTGCGGCTAGGAGAACCGTGGTAAGTAATTCTCCTCACCATGTGCTTCCGCACCTAGTTCATCTCTGCATCTGTATGACTGGCTGGAGCGTGGAGACGGTGTGCCTCTGTGAAGAGAGCAGGTGACTGAAAGCTCTCATACATACATTGTAGACACAGACACACACAGTTGCCTCACTTGTATTTCCAATTCTAGCTAGATTAATGATACTATTAGAATTACCAGAGGTCCCCTGGAGGCTACTTACACTATCTCTCAAGAAGCTGATAATGCCCCCTCTAGAATGGACCAGGGATATATAAACTTTAGATATCTGAAAACAAGACCGGCCAAACAAAAACCCTTTAGATATCTGAGTGGATTTTGAGCTTGCACATAATCATAAATTGTAATCTAAGAAAGAACGAGTTCTGTTAAAATATTTTTTTATTAAAAGATCATTTACTGGGGGCTCTTACAACTCTTATAACAACCCATACATTAATTGTATCAACCATATTTGTACATATGTTGCCATCATTCTTTTCTAGACAATTAGTTTCTATTGAGCCTTAGTATCAGCTCCTCATTGTTTCCCTCCCAACCCCCCTCATAATCCCTTGATAAATTATAAATTATTATTTTCATATCTTACACCGACCCTGTCTCCCTTCCCCAATGGTTTCTGTTCATCCCCCTGGAGGAGTGTGTGTGGTTATGTATCAATCACTGCAATCGTTTCCCTCTCCCTCCCCTCCTCTTCCCACTTTCCTCCTCCCCTCTGGTATGACTATTCAGAAGGATGAGTTCTTTTGGTGGTGTGTCTCCACTGGAGACTTGCCTCAGGAGGTGATCACTGAAGACTTGGCTGCTATCGCAAAGTGTGGTGAGGAAATCAGATGGTGCCCCTCATAAAGAACAGCGACTGGGGACTTAAAGGCTTGTCTTAAAACAAGCAATTAAAAGAATAAAGGTGTTTAAAAGAAAACAAAAAAACCAAGCAGCTAGCTACGTGAGGTGCCAACCAAGTCCACGTGGAATGAGCACACCAGCCTGCATGTGATACAAGGACTCTAAATGATACATCGATGCCCAGAGCAGGGAATGCTGTTAAGGCTTAAATTCTGAGCGCCTCGTCTGCTGAAGGTTAGGGTGACAGTGAAAGCCCCAAATCCATTTGCAGAGTCCCCAGGTGCATTGAGCCTGAATTCCATCTGAATATTGTGCAAGGGAAAGGGCATTACCTCCATCTGAAAGAGCAGTGCTGGGAGGGGCGGTCTCCCTTGGGGGCTTGCCTGGGTGTGCCTTTGAGAGAACACAGGTGGTAGGGGCATCGGTCACACCCTGATGGCCTTGAGAAGACCTCCTCCCCACCGACCTCTTAAGCCCCTTTGTCAACCACAAAGTCTGCACTCCAATCATGCCTCCATTCCCCTCCCACAGCCCACCTGTAATTGATACACGCATTTGCTGCCAACATGTATTTCGGACAGTTTCCCTTGACCTCCTATGTCCTCTCCAAAGTTCTGTATTATCAGCAAACCCTTGGACTCTTTATGACCTTGTGATCTAATGGCCTCCCTCATCTAGATATGTTTTGTCTGTCTTGTCCTTGTCTTTTGATTAAGACTTTAATAAATGCTTTCTTTTTTTTTTTTT